GGAGCGCGCGGGCCGCGGGGCTGCGCCCGGAGCGGGGCGCGCGGGGGGCGGGCGCGCGCGGGAGGGGCGCCATCTTGGCCGGCGCGGGCGCGAGCTCCTCGGGGCGGCCCTGGCTGCGGCGTCCCGGAGGGTCCCACCCGGCGCGACCCTCGGGCCTCGGTGAGCCCACGGCCCCAACCCTGCGCGCGGTTCCCGGGTCCCACGGCGCAGCCCCCGCCTAGGCCGACCCTGCCCGGCCGGCCCGGAGTCGTTCCTGCGCGCCCGCGGGACCCTCCCCGCACCCCCGCGGGGCCACGCACCCACCGGGCGGAGGGCAGCCTGCGCGGCTCCTGCGGCAGCTCTCCCGACGTCCAGATGCAGAGCCGAGGAGGGCGCGGCGCTGGCGATAATAATAGCTCTGTCCATCGACCGCTCACACGGTGCCAGGCTCTGTGTAGAGCCCTTTGCTTGCGTTCTTCCTCGCGCCAGCCCCGTGAAGTCGCCACGGTTGTTACCCTTGTTTTTCCGAGGCAGCATTTGAGGTTCAGAACGGTCAAGCGACTTGCGGTCAGAAGGTGGGGAAGTCAAACGGGAGCCAGAATTTTCTTGACACCCTACCTGCCGCTGACCATAAAGCCGTGATACCCACCGAGGCCTGGCCGATGTCAATAAATCGCTCCCCAGTAGAACTAAAACGGTGGTAAAGAAGAAGGGGAGGGTGTGGGTGAGAAGTGTGGAGGCAGCACTGGTGGGGCACAGTATTCACTGCAGGACAGTTCCCGGTGGTCAGTCAGATCCGTGTCCCGGAGGCCATCCAGGACCAGGAGGGGGAAGGTTACCAGCCAGAAACCCTCTCACAGCTCATTGTTTAAGGCAGAGGTTTTGGTTTTTTGTAGCTGCTAACTATTGCACAGCTGACTGGAGATGCCCTCAAGTAATGAAAACTAAAGGTATTGAAATCAAAATTTATTCTTTCATCCCCGTGATTGACCTTCGAAGAACTTTCACTGGGGTGAAAAGGAACCCTCTCCAAGCTAGCCCATGCACAGGCGCATTGGAGTATGGATGCAGCTCCACTTCATCCACCCCAGTGAACCGCACCACCACCTACTGGTTTGCTTCAGCCAGAAACCTCAAGATCATCTTTGACTACATTTTCGCTTGACTTTAGGTGAATACTATAAATGTTTTCACTTTTTATTTTGGAAAAATTAAAAATATAGATGAAAGGAGAAAGAACAGTGTAATGAACCCTACTCATATACCCATCACTCAGTTTCAACAATTATCAACTCCTGGCCAAGAGTTTATTATTTGACAAATATCTATGATATATGAATCATGTACCAAAGTTCCACACTAGGCCCTAGGGATCCAAAGATGTATCAGATTTGACTGTAACCCAACCTGGAGGACATAACATCTGGCCTTGGTCCTTGATAGGTGAATAAGAGTTACCCAGAAAAAGAAAGTTGTCCTTAGTTATTCATTCTCTTTCAACAAATAATTATTATGTGTGAGGCACTGTCCTTGGTGCTAGGAACACATACAGAAACAAGATTGCATTTCTACCTTCTTGAAGCTTGAATAATGGGAAAGAGACATTAAACATATGATTAGAAATGTGATGAGTATCTTTTTAAAAAATATTTTTTTATTGTTGATAGTATTACAGATATCTCCCATTTCCCCCCCCCCCCCTTACTTCCCTTCCCCTAGCCCCTATGCACCCACTCCCAGGTCTTTACTATTATATTGCCCATGTCCATGGGCTATGCATATCTATATATATATAAAACCTAAGTGACCATTATGGCGGAACAATTGGAATGACTGGAATGACCAGTCACTATGATGCGCACTGAGCAGGCAGGCAGGCAGGCAGGTGAGCAGTTAGGAGCAAGCAGGCAGGAAGGCAGGCAGACAGGCGAGCGGTTAGGGGTGAGTAGTCCCAGATTGTAAGAGGCTGTTGGACATCCCCCAAGGAGTCCTGGATTGCAAGAGGGCGCAGGCCGAGCTGAGGGATACCCCTCCCATGCACGAATTATGTGCACTGGGCCTCTAGTAAGTATATAAGTTCTTTGGTTTATCTATTCTCGTCCCCCAACCCCACATAAAGGTATGTCAGTCTGTTCTATGCCTCTGCTTCAGGTCTTATTTTGTTGGTCAATTCATTTTGTTCATTAGATTCCACAAATAAGTGAGATCATGTGATACTTGTCTTTCTCAGATTGGCTTATTTTTACTTAGCATAATATTTTCCAGGTCCATCCATGCTGTCCCAAAGGGTAAGAGATCCCTCTTTTTTACAGCTGCATAGTATTCCATAGTATCACTGTGCAATAGCTTTTTTATCCATTCATCTACTGATAGGCACTTGGGCTATTTCTAGATCTTAGCTATTTGTGATGAGTATCTGAAGGAGGTGTACAGGATGCTATGAGTGAACTAAATTTAGCCTGGAGAGGTTTGGGAAGGCTTTCCATAAGGAATTGGCACTTATGTGAGGGAAATAGGGTAAAGGAGAAGGTCAGCCAGAAGAGAAAGTTATTCTAAGTCAAAGGAGAAGCACAAGAAGGCCAGTATGGTGACAGTGGAGAAGAATGGCAGAAGATGAACTGAAAAGGTAGTATGTGCCAAATCAAGGAGGGCCTTGTAAGGGTTAGCTAAGAGTTTGGACTTTATTTTAAGGGCAATGGAAAATCATCAGGGTTTGAGGCAGAGGGGTGGCATGTTCATCCTTGCATTTCAGAAGCTCACTTCTGGCTGCTAAGTGGAGAATAGATGGGAAGAGTAAAATTGGCTCTCAGTGTGGGGACTAGTTAGGAAGCAGTTCATGTAGTCTAGGTGGGAGATGACTAGTTGTGGGAGTAGGAATGGAGAACATTGCATAGGTTTAAACAGAAGGTAGAATTCACAGATATTAGTGATCAATTGATTGGCTATGGAAGGATGAATTCCAGACTTCTGCTTGAGCAATTTTAAAAAATCCAGAAATATCATCAGTTTACAAAGAGCCCACCAGAATACTAGTCTTCCCAGTCCATTGGGCAGGAGGGCTGCAATATCCAAGGAAATCTCTTCAGGTAACCAGAGGCACACAGATAGGATGATGAGGGTGGGAGAGGCGTCTAATTAGCTAAGGTGCACAAAGAAAAATGTGAAGTTCACATACTGTGCAGTTTGACCCATACAGTCTTCCTGAATCCCTGATCTATGTCTGCAAAGCCTCCTGCTCAATGGGGGAGTCAACCTGTGCCCTTTATCCATCCTTTCCCTATTGTATCTCTTCTCCCTTCTGATACTCTCCAAGGCCCTAAGGAGCAGACAGCTTATGAACCACCTCAGATACTGTGTGTGGTTCTAACAATGTGGGTCCCAGGCAGCAAATTTTAAAAATTATTACCTTGGTCCTATCAAGAAAAACTTGAATTAGAAACAACTCCATCCCTAGCCAGTTTAGCTCAGTGGATAGAGCATCGGCCTGTGAACTGAAAGGTCCTGGGTTCGATTCCCGGTCAGGGCACATGCCCGGGTTGCAGCTCGATCCCCAGTAGAAGTTGTACAGGATGCAGCCAATTGATGATTCTCTGTCATCATTGCTGTTTCTATCTCTCCCTCTCCCTCTCTGAAATCAATTATTTTTAAAAAAAGAAAAAAGAAACAACTCCATCCAGAGAGTCACTTACCAAGAGCACTGGCTTTATGCATCACCAGAAAGTTGGCATCCATGTTACCTATATATGGAAGAATAGAGCTTTCGTCTCTATTAGCACCAAAGACACTTAATGGAGCAAAGGCAGCATTTTCTACCACTACAGATAAGCATTGCTTGAATATTGTATTTTTATAGTAGTTGATCTAATAAACTTTCTTTATTCTAGGTGGTTGTTATCATTTGGAAAAACGTATAAGGAGTTAAATCTTCCTACAGATTATATGGAGTGGAATTCATAAGTCAGATGCTAGGTCTGGCAAGGACTTCCTCAACACCCTTCTTCAAGACTATTCTAATACATCCCCAGGAAAAGCATAGAGGGTGAGGGAAGGACTAACCTCTGGGGATGCCAGTGTTTGGGGAGCCAGCAGAGGAAAAGAAGGCCAAAAAGAACACTGAGAAGAAACAGAGTAAGAGGAGAATCAGGAGAGAGTAATGTCATGGAAGATATCCAAGGGAGGAAAGATTTTTCAAGGAGACAAAAGTGGTCAACAGCATCAAATGCAGCAAAGATTTCCAATAAGGTTCAGGCAAAAAAGTATCCTTTGAATTTTGTGTATCCTTTGAATTTTGTGGCATGGAGGTCATGGACATCCAAGATGTGATCTGTATCAGCAGAAAATGGAGGCAGAACCACAATGCAATGAGTTGAGCAAATGAAAATGAGGGAGAATAAGTAAGTGCAGAAACCCTTATAGAGAAGTTTAGAAGAAAGAATAGACAATAGCTGAAAAGTGGTATGAAGTTAAATATTCTGGTTTATTTATTTATTTAGGTTATTTGTTTTTTGTTTTGTTTTTTTAATCCTTACCTGAGGACATGCATAGAGAAAGGAAGGGGAACACAGAGAGAAACATTGATGTGAGAGAGTAACATCAATCGATTGCTTTCCATACATGCCCCAACCATGGGTCGAACCCGCAACCCAGGTATGTGCCCTGACCAAGAATCGAACCGACCACCTTTCAGTGCACAGGACAACGCTCAGCCAACTGATCCATTCTGGCTGGGCATGTCTTTTTTAAAAATATATTTGAACATGGATATACACCACAAAAGGGTACCAGTAGAGAAGATGAATTTGAAAGTAAAGAAAATAGATGGAGTGAGATGCTAGAGGCAAGGAGAGGAGGTGGGATCAAGGACTCATGAGAAGAATTGGACACCTTAACTTTGTAGACTAAAAAGATAGGGGTGCGGACAAAGGTGTAGACGGGGTAATAAACTGGCAGTCAACAAGAGGTTGAGATATTTCATGCCCAGGGATATCAATATTTTCAGTCTAGCTGAAGAAAGGAAGGAGGGTTGGATACAGAGCAACAAAAAACCTGCAAGATGAATATCCTGTCATGAACATGTTGCCTTTGTTGTTATCTGTGCAGTATCCATTTCCCTTTTTATTGGTAACAGCACCTCATTTTTCTTTTGGCACATCCTTTCCCCAGTCTAAGTCTATGTCACGCAAGTCCCACAATCCACTTCAATGTTGGTCTCCTAACCCATGATTGAATCAAAGCCATCAATTCCGAGATGGGCACATGATGAAATCTGAGCCGGTGAAAATCAGATCCAGGAATTTTCCTGCAAATAGTGCTGGTAGAACATAAGCCTGGTGGACACCTTGCCACCAGGAACAACGAACCTGCCTGAG